CTTCTGCAAGTCCTAAAGCCTTCCTGCACTGGTATGTCTCTTTTTCAGTCTCCCTTAATTGTCTGCAAACCTTCTCTAATTCATATGTGCTTTTATTGGCTTAGCATACTCACATCCCAATCTTATCTCATTTATTTTCATTTTTATAGTTCATCTACTTACTATTGCTGTGTAAGGAGCTATTTTATGAGGAAGACTGGAAGGCTTTACCAACCTAAAACTTGCCAAGAGAAGGTGTATGTGTCTGATGCTATGCATGAGCTTTCACATCTAGCTTCTAGTTCAAACACTTATATTTTGGGAAAATTACAGTTCTGTCTTTTTGGCTTTCTTCCAACACTTTCAGGAAAACTATATAGTTAAAAAGTTGTGTGGGAACAGAAATTACTCAGTTCAATACACTTCTCTGAAAGCTCCAAGTTTTCTAACATAGTATAGTGACCTACCTTTTTCTGTATAAGCATAATGTCAGGAAAAAATAACCTTCTTTCCCTCTTAAAAATAACCTTGAACTCTAGAATTTTTTTTTCCTGCCCTGTTTTATTTTTCTTAATTAGCAGCTGATGAAATCCCCATGTAGTTCTATAATTATTTAGCACCTGAGGGAGATCCCACTTCATTCAATGAAGGTATGTTAAGGAATATCTGACCTTCCTGTATTTTGAGGTATGATTTTTTTTCTTTAGATTGTTCCTGATTCTCCTCTGTGCAGTATTATTTGGTGCATGATAGTGTGGCAAATAGGAATGGGGCCACTGGGCAAGAGGAGACCCTTTGACTTACCAAGTGGAAAGAAATCTTTCTCTCCAAAGATAATAAGCTGTTTGTTTTCATGTCAGTCAAAAAGACAGAAGAAGGAAGAAAGGAATAAAACAGTTTGTTTACTGGTTATTTCTAATCACTGATCCCACATCATTCTATTAGAAATTTTCTGCTGTTTGCACACATTTTCCTTCTGATGCTTGAGTGTATTTTCTTCAGCATATTGCCTTTTTCTAACATTCTTCTGATACATGTGTTGCATCACTTTGGCTTATATCAAAACCAAGAATCTTTGTGTTGTTCCACTAATTACAACTGATTAACATCTCTCTATTTGATGCTGCCACACTAGCCCTAGGCACGTCAGGCCTTGATAGGAACAAAAGGTAGGATACAAGATTTAACTTCACTTACAGATTTTTCCTCAAAAAACTTCCATGACTTACTGAAAAATCTTTGCTCTAATCCTAAATGCTTTCAATTTTTTCTAAAAGGAAAATACATTGTGCTGTAGTCACAGGCTGGGAAAACTTACAGGAAGAAAAGGATCTTATGAATAAATGAGATTTTCCTTGAGAATAACTCAAGATATAAAAAGTAATCAATTAAGATGTAACTGGAAACATGACAGCACACTTTCTATTGCAATAGCACTTCTGCTTGTCATGGAGACCTTTAGTATTATATCCCTATGTAAGTCCATAGAAAGAAACATTCTTCATCATGCTGAGCTTTCATCCTGAAATGATCTTAACAGATGAGAGGAGGGAAGAAGCAGAATGATCAGCGTGGTACAACTGGCACAAACTGTTAATCCTTCTTTCGGTTTCACGCAAAAGCTACCTTCCTAACTTGCAATTTATTGTATAAGTAAATATTGCCTGTATTTCCTTTTTGAAAGCTGTGAAAGCACTTTACTCTGTCCATTGTTATTTGGTCAAGGAAGCACAGAATTGGAAAGAAAAAAGGATCTGTTAAATAGTTTTCTGATATAGAAAGTGCTGGCTAATCTTATAAGAACCAGCAAGGAAGCTATTATTCCTAACTTCAACCTGAAGGAGAGGCAGAGGTTACCAGACTTACATATGGATAGATAGTAGGCACAGGGGCAGGTGTTTGTGAGATATGTCTATCAAGCATTCAGTGAGGACTCAACAAAAATCGCTTACTCCCTATCCCTCCACCCTATCTCATTATGGGTGGCAGATAAATCATATCTTTGCCATTAGTTCTGTTCATTTATCAATCTCTGAAAACAATTTTCTACTGCATTTATTTTCAGGATTTGCTTAATCCCCCTCTGATAAAAATTTACAGAAATAAACACTCTTTTTTTCCTTATACTAGTTCAACAATTAGAAAGCCTCTAATATTTAAAAACTAAAACAGCTTCAAATTTAGCATCAAACTCCCACACACTGCTTGCTAATGAACTGTGATCAACCCCTTTTGTATCAGGCACAGAGAGCAGATAGCAGATAGCAGAAATGGCAAGTCATGCCAGAATGTTTCTTGAATTGCTCTCTGAGGAAAAGGGAGAGTAGAGGCACTGTAAGTTTAATTATGGTTCTCTCCAGAGTTAAACTTTGCAATTTTGTTTTTAGGTCAAATAATCGGCTTGGCAGGAAGTACTGGAATAAACAGGATAAAATCCTGTTCTGTTGAAGTAGAGCTTATATAGAAAAATTACTGGGTAAATTAGTATGTATTTTAGATCCTTGAAAGGGTTAAAAGTTAGTGTTAAAGAAGAAATATATTCAGAAAAAGAAATAATAGCTCTAGTACAGAATAACGCAAAATGAAAAATAGAACTAAATACTCTTTGAGCTGCAGGGAAACCTGAGTTCTGGAAAGATTTAGACCAGGAACCACAGTTAGCATAATGAGCATATGTTGTCTTATGGTGCTTTTAAAAAATCATGGGGCTTGGGGGGCATATTGAGTAGAAAAGTTTCCCAGTGAGAATGAGTCACTCCATATTTGTTCCTGAAATAACTACATTAAGAATAGGATGGTTTCTTCTAGTTTTCTCCATACCCAAAAGCTGTTGGTAAATTGGAGGGCAAACTGAAATCCTAACTGGTCTTAACAAAGTCGACTTTTCTTACCTTAAGGTTAACATACTTGATAAAAAGTCAGTTAATGGCTATAGCTTACATTTAACTACTAAACTTTCACTCCACGTCAAGATTTTTTTGGTTTACTTTTTATTACTGAGCATCCCTACTGTGGGCAGAGCCTATCAATATAATAGAACAGTATTCCTTGATTTTAGGGTGTAGTCAGGCTGACCACTCTGAATTCACCACTCAATGCTTGTGGCAGCACCAGTGGCACAAAAGATCATTTCCTGATTTATAATTCAGTAAGCAACACAGAACAGCAGCTGCAGTCTGTGTATACTTATTTGGGGCAAATATCAGAGAACCAAATGGCTGCTTTGCTGTCAAGACACACCTAAAAGCTTTAGATCTAACAGTTCCGGTTACACTACCAAATAGCTTCAACTTTAAATAACTAAACCGAAGCCCTCCCTAAGTATACAAAATACACTTAGTAAATGAGACTGTAAACGTACGGTATCATAGCTGGTAGGATTTCCTTTGATAGAACTATTCCGTCAGTTTAGAGAATGTATCTATGGCTTAACATAGTTCTCTGTTTCATATGGAGTCTAAAACAATACATTTTGAGTAGGCCAGAGATGACAAATGTTTCAAGAATCATCTGAAGGCAAGAAAAGCAAAGAATTTTAACTGACCCCTGTGTCTAACAAGAGTCACAGTTGAAAGAATACTGAAAATTTAGATAGCAACATGTTGTCAATTAGCATTTCCTCTGGGAACAATATTTTGTGTACTTATATTAATAGCACTTTCCACTATAAATAATCTCACTAGTTTTGTAGTGGTGCTAATCAGCCTAACTGGAGATAACAGATTTTGGTGCTTAGTAATTTCTGTTGTAGTGGGTAAGTATTCACCACCCGTATTTAGTGGTGCCCCACCATATGCCTTTAGAATCCTTGTGCTTTTTTTACAGACTGAAAGCATGAAATCTGTTTTCACACATCTTGATGTTATTTGGAGATTCCTAAATGAATGCAACTGTTTAGAAAATCCTCCATACAGAGCTTCACCTCTAAGCCTCATCTCCAGATGGAAGACATCAGACTGCAGGGATCACATTCTTAATATGCAAGAGCTTAAAATATTCAAAACATTTTAAAAAGTCTAAATTTTTAATGCTTAAAATACCAATCGTTTTCCAGCAATCCAAGCTGCTTTCTGGAATCCAGTGCCAAGCTCAGTACATTTTCTATGACAATGAACATAAAAGACCTACAGTACTGCAAGCAACAGAACCACAAAGATCTAAAATGTTGCTTAATTAGTTTGGGAGGCTTAGAGCTATTTTGTATCTGTTAAATTTAATATTTCAACAAGAAAAAAGGCATACATACTTGGTGTTATGCGTGTCCTGGGCAATAACTGACTAGTAGCAAATAACAACCCTGAAACTCTCAAAAATGCTTTAGTGCACGGCCTTGCCTTTGGTGGTGGCATTTCCCATTCAAAAATACTCTCAATGGCTGCACTCAGGGTTGGATACGGGAAATGACCTTTGACAACTGCAGCAGTTTCTTTCTGTGGGACAATGTTAATTCTGTCTACAAGGTTTCCTATTGAGCTCTTGATATGGTTTCAGCTCTATTTATGAAGGGTTACACCAAGAAGGGAACTACTAGGTGGTTTATGACAAGATTGCTGCTGCAGATTTGGTACCTACTGTGATTTGTGTCACCCATTTGAGCCTCAGCCATAAAGCTGCACTTTTTATCAAGAATATTTGTGAATATATAACTGCTCTGAAGACATATGGCCAATAAATAATTCAAAGTTATCTATCTTCCCTGCAGTTTTCTTATACATCTACCACCTTTTAATGTTTAGTTGGCCTGGAAACGATATTCTTTATGGCACTTCTAGTATAAAAATGTTTACTGACTGGCAGTAGACTATTGATTTCCAGTGTGATACCTTGAAAATAAACCGTTCCCCCCCAGTCTCCATCTGCTTTGCTCTCCCATCTGCTATCAGCTCAGAGAAACCTTGTTTTGCATTTTGTGTCCCTAAAAATGTCCATTTTCAATTATTGATTCAAAAATCATAACAATGTGACTGAATTCATTATTCCTTTTTCTCTCCCTCTCCCCCATCCTTTTGTTTTCTTTTCAGCTCTATATCCATTTACAGTCCTAAGGAGAATCCTAATGTGTTTGATGCTGCTGCTTTCTTCCAGTCAGTGGGAAATTTCCTGGGGATCTTTGCTGGATCATTTGCCATGGGATCCTCTTATGCTGTTGTCACAGCTTTAATATCCTTTATGGTTTGTTTTCAGAGAGAAAATCTATATGTGTTGGAAAAATGTGTGATATTTGAGACTGACCATCTTTAGTTTGAATCTGAACATTTTCACTGTTGATTCAAGACTTTGCAAACAAACAGTCAAGTCATAAATTGAATGGCAGGAAATGTCACTTGTCAGAATCCACAAAGAACTTCATATGCAGATTTCTTTTTAACATTAGGCAAGACTCTAATCTTTATTTTACTATTTGTAAATAATTACATTTTTAGGAAAGTGTTTTGAAGTATTTTGAGGTTAAAACATGAATTTATGAACTACAGCAACTTATTTATGAACTACAGACTAACAGCAATTATACAAAAATACAAGGCAAACGCAACTACAAATCAAGTCAGTCAGTTTACCTAAACTAGAAATAAAAGGCATATCTGTTGCCCTCCATTTTTTCTTGTGTTTTACAGTTTTTCATGTAAAATACTATTATAGAAAGAGCAGCAATTTTCATCTTTCTTGCATTGATGCAAATGTAAACAAATGCCAGTTTGTTTACAAAACTGGACAAAATTACTTTCTTTTCCCTTTTTCTGGGCAAAGAATATCAAATGCAACCAATTAGGCATTAGTTCAAAAACCACAAAAGTACCTGAAATAGCCAACTTGTAGAATTCACCTGTTTAAAACCTGTGCTGGATTTTCCTCCTTGTTTGAGATAATTTAGAAGCTGTGCAGTTTTTCCTGAATTCAACCTGTATAGATGAGTATGGGGGGGTGGAGCTTGCTTGCTTTCATCCTTTATTAGGTTGGGGGCAATTTTAGCTTACAAAACAAGTGAGTTTTATTTTTCCTTAGTAATCTTCTAGCACTTGACAAAATTTACAAAGCTGTGTGAGTTTCCAATGTTGGAGACAGGTCTGTTTTTTCTCCTGTCCTGGAGTGCCTTCTTATCAGCAGAAGCTGCTGGTCTTACAGGTATGTGTCACATTTTATTGAATAAAAGCAGTTTTATAGCATGCCCCTAGTATGGGAAAATGGCGTGTTTATTTTGGGCATAACATCATATATAAAGCTTCTAAAAGTCAGTTGCTATATTGGAGACGGTTTCATCTTTAAGAACAAACCTGTAGAGACACCAAATAGTTCTTCCAGACAAAGACTTATTATTAGGCTAAAGTCCTCAGTCTTTCTCACGTTCCCTACATTGTCCCATCCCTATTAGTCCCACTATTAATCCCACTATTTTCTGCCCAGCTGTAGGACCAAGATGACGGTAAGTACAAGAAAGCAAACATACAGTACCATGTGACTGTCAGAGACTGTGCTCCTCTGCATGCACTGCATGTCCTGGTCCCACCTCCTTTTTCCCAACTATCAATGACTAAACAGAGGACAGGGTCATCTTCAGCGTTGCCAGTGGGTTGGCAGACACCTCTGGATTTAAAAAAAAAAAAAATTTGCATCTTGTTCAGTGCACCTACATAAACACCTTTTGCAACAGGAGAGGTACAGTCATGTCCCAGTGACAGATGGAAAGATGTGTGATCTGATTGGGTTTTAGTTAACCCTGAGAAAGAAATTGTACAATCACAATCAAGTACATACCCAGGGACTGCATCAAATTGTCCACAGAAGTTTAGGCAAAAACTGTAAATGGCTAGTTTACCTAGACAGCAATCTATTGTAGAGTGTATAATTGTAAAAAGCCTTTTGAAGTCAACAGTTATATTTTTACTGACTTCTGTGGAGCCAGCATATTACTTTTTTAATAATAGTCACACAATGAAACTATTTCCAAACGGGTATTAACATTTGCATCTTCTGGCATCTTTGCTTATTAAATATACAATTTTGCATCCTGCTTACTGACAAAATCTTCGGGCCAATGAATAAAATTAGGGGCGCATGAATGGAACAAAAGGGTGGTATTCCATCACATGGAGAAAATCAGATACCAGCTGGAATAAAAGTCCGTTTTGTGCCTTAACAGCTCTTAAATCTGTGACATGATTACTACATAAAAATGGAAGCAAAGGAGGATGATAGTTAATCACTTACCTCCTACTGGAGGTAGTGATTTCATATATATATCTATCTCTCTGAAATAAAAGACTTAATTATTGAACACCACAGATGGTTTTTTCCAGTAGCCATGGTGAGGAATTTTAAATGGACAGAGAGAGCGCCAGAGAAAGAGAGTGGAAACAAAGTAAAGTTCCAATTTAAGGGGAAAAGATGAAAAATGTTGGGAAATTTAGCTATTTCTTACAAATAAAGGAATTGATACGGGCATGTAAAAGAGAATTGCTCTGCCAACACACAAATTCCAAGGAAAACATATCAAGCCCTTTTAGGTCTGTCACTAGCTTTTATTCATGGGTGCGTTCTGAGTTTCAGGTGGAAATTTTTTAATTACACTGCTATGAGGAGGCAAAGTTTAATCCTGAAAGTTTTATCAGTTGAATCTTTATCATTTAGTTTCTGTGAAAGGCTTTTGTCAGAAGCTGTTAGAGTGGGAAAAACTCATGGAGCCTTTCTTGTAGCTTCAGAAGTTCAAAGCTGTGTATTGTAAATGCATTGACTTTATTAGTACTGTGCTAACATCATACTTGAGAGTGGATATTTTTAATTGTCTGGTTTAACCATTTATGAAGTTGCTTTCATCTTCTCAGTCTCATCTGAAATAGCTCCAACTCCCCTCCTTTCAAAATATGACTTTACATGTCCAGTTCTGCAGGAGAGTTACTGGGTTGGTTAAGAAATTTTCAGCCAACTCAGGTTCTGTTGGAGGTATAGATTTCAGAGGTGGCTCTGATTTCTCATACCCGTGCTAAGGAAATCTGTGTAAAATGCAGTTACTGCGTGCAGTCTCCCACACGGGCGTGTTATGTACAAAGCACCTGTTGCAGAAGGCATGGGGAGCCCAGGGAAAAGCCCGTCATCCTTCAGAACACATTCAGCTCTTAATCCATACTCTATCCCAGTCTTTTCCAGCTTACTTGCTTTGCCCTTTGACTGTCTCAATGCACACACCACTGGTTTTACAGTCAAGTGTGTCTATTCTCAGAAGCAATTGGAATTAAGACAGCATCATAACCATGCAATGACACTGCTGGACCACTCCATTCAATGAACTAAATTCCTAGCTTGAAGTCTTTGACTTCAGTAGACTTGCTTCAAAAATTAACTTGATCCATTGTACATTTACACTTATATTCATCTTGGTTTTCCTTGGTTATTGTGTTTCCTCTGTTCATTCCCTCTAAATGAACTTCAAAGGATTAACAATAGACATCAGTATTTCCCTGTAGCTATCAAGTAATGTAATTGCAAAAGATTTTATTCTTATAATGCTTTTCACACTAGTTCTTCAATCACTATGAGCCTTTTGTAGTCTAAAATTGAAGTATGTCATAATTTATAAATAACGGGCTATAATGTTTTTGTGTAGGTATAGTAGGTGGTAGAGCTCACTTGTTCAGCTTGCAGATTTTTTAAATGAAATGTAAATGGAGAGTGGTACGGGTCAACATTTTGTAAAATATTTTATTCCTCTACCTCAAGATATCCCATGATACATAACGCACAATATATGGGCCTGACCCTGGTCGAAGAATGGATTTGATCAAACCAGCAAATCAAAATAAAAATCTGGGATGACTACACAATTATTGTTATACTGATAACTGTAAATTATAAATTAATGTTATGGTTATTAATTTTATAGCTATATCATCAAGCTGTGACATATGCATGATAAATTGATTCATATACAGTAGAATCTAATTTGTGCACTTTCTGATTTGCCCTGAAGTATATCATTCCTGACTGCTGAGCAAAGTTGTAATAACAGAGTGCTATAGTAAGGCCAGCGTTGATATAGTTGCTTTCATTTTCAAACTTCATTACGGAGTATTTACTAGTAGGCTATGAAAAAAAAAATCATAAATAATTTAAACACTTGTCAAAATAAATGAGGAAATTACATCTTACATTTATTAACTGCTTGTTCTCTTGCTTTATAATTAACAAAATTTGCTAATTTTTAAATGATCACTCAGGCATTAGTCTGTGAAAGATTCCATGATGTATATGGTCATTTAGTGTTCACCTCAGTTAGACCCTCTCTATCTACAACTATTTGAACTAAGTAGATATTCAGATAAAAAGAGATTAATATACCTGCAAAAATGCACTCAAATATATTTATGTGAATTTATTTGCACGTATGTATTCAATTAACACATACTTCAAAGTCATATAGAATTTATCAGTGGAAAAACATCAAAATTACGGCCAACCACCTCTGATTTTTACATGCCAAAGACACGTGCTATGAAGCTAAGAAAGACAATAGATCTTGAAGGAAAAAATGTTGGAGGGGATCATCTTTGTTCTTTTCCTGCTTTTCAGAGCCCAGCCCAAAATTATTGTTTTCTAATCATTATAAAGGAAATAGGTTGTGATAATAAATTACTGCTGCTTCCTTACCCTCAGAAATTCTTGTCTGAACATTTTGTGATACGTCTGACACCTGCCTTCTTATTCAGGAGCTCACAGGAGAGCTAGTGAGAAAGCTTTTCCTTAAAAAATAAATAAGCAGCTTATTATGACTGATGTGCTCAGGACAAGTCCAAAGATCTGGTCTGTCACTCGGGCAGTTTTTTGTTACCTTTGTATTTAGGACATAGCAAGAACAAACATCACCAACTTCCATTTGCTTTAGTACTGCTGACAAAGTGCATTTATTCTCATAGCTGCTCACTGTTCCTATCTGTTTGCTGTAATTTGTCTTGGATCCATCATCTACCTCATTGCTTTTTTAAAATAGTGACCAGTTCTTCTTGTATCACTCTCAGAAGGGATCAACCAAAACATTTCTGTCTGCAGTTCTGAGCACTGTGAGCACAATGCAGGTTGGTACCTGATTGGCTTCAGTTCACTGAGCTGACATTATTCTATGAAAGGAGGTTATTCCGGGCTTTAAATTCTAAACTTTGTGATTTTCTTTCCTTTATTCATAAGTAATAGACCATGTTGTGTCATACAGAGAAGTAAGCAGTCTCCTCCCAGTAAGGAGGGAGAAGGGATAGCTTAGCTTCTAGGTCAAAAGGAAGACAACCTCAACTCTCTTAAGCTGTAGTTCTGCCACTCCTAGGAGGAAAGGATGAAATTTGGGTCTAATTAGGAAAGCAGACCCATAGTAGATAAGAAGATGGCATTTGCACCGCTGTGCAGAGACAGATGATGATTGGGATAGTTTGCTTACTAATCCATTACTTGCCTGTAGGACTTCAGAGATGGCTCTGGATAATTTATGTGGTATTCTAAGATGGGGAATGTCAAGTGGATCCTGTACTTTAGAGGAAGCTCTAGACATGTTTTGGTGACATATAAGCTAGATCCAACACTCTGCAGTTTCAGTTATCCCATTTGCCCTTTCAACAGCATCACTTGACCAGACTATGCACACACTTGAGTCAGTGCTTGGATCTGGCTAATTTAGGTGCTGTTGTAGGTAAAGCCTTTTAAGACAGTAAGGGAAAAAGAGAAAGGTGATTGTTTTTAGAGAAAAGTACATATTCTAGCATGGCATTAGGCTGAGATCAATGATCAGTTGCATAAAATGAGGGTAGTGGAGTCTTATTGCTAGTGAATAGGCTCAGGATAAACAAGGCAAGCACTCTTAGCATGTCTAGAATAAAACCTGTTATGTCTCACCACAGGAGTTCCAATCTAAATTGAATTCAGTGATTCATCTGGGATTACAAAAGTACAACACTGAAGCTCAGGTCTCACTTGAAGCAGCCGGGTGCAATACCAATGATTGGTCCTCAGATGAGGGCCTAAAAAATTCCCTCAGCTCTGTCTTTTGTTGCTTTCTGTCACTTCAACATGAAATCAACCTCAGACAACTCCAGAGATGAAAGCTCATGAACAAAGTGCCAGCTTTGGTTCTGCATTGGTGCAGGTCTGGTGAAAGAAGCCTTAAATCTTGGCTTTAATATCAAGAAAATGATTAGTCACACTTCATACCCTCAGTGAAAACGGACTGAATAGGGATATGGTTGCTACTGGGTTTATAGCCTTATTACTGCAACAATTTGATGCAGAAAACAGTGCCTCATTTCTTGCCACTCATACACTCAGTCTGCACTGGGATGTGCCCAATAGGTGCTGTGGAGATATTCAGACATAAATATGACTCCGAAGTAAACATTACATGATTTAAATAATTTCTCTATTACCCAGTCCTCATTGTTCTCTTTTTCTACACATTTCACCACCTTTGATGAAAGACCAGTTCCCGTTCCTTGTTTTACTGTGGGATTTGCAGTAAGTTGTGCATCATTAGAGAGGCATCCCTGAAGCTCTGGAATGCTTCAAAGTTGGGATGAAAACCTGTCAGTTTACCTACAGATCTTTCCAAATGAAGTTATACATTTTATCCACTCCCTTGTTTCCCTAGAAGGTAGAGGTTTGGGGTCTTTTTTCTAAATTCCTTTTTTCACCACTAAAAGACCTGACAGCTGGAGACATAATGTTATATTCTCTCAGATTAGCAAATTCTGAAGTTTAAATTGTGGCTAGTCACTTCCAGGTTTGCACTAAAAGCACACTGCACATGCCGCCCTTCTCTGACAGAAGACAGACTTTTTTCCAGTTTTTCTCTTAGAATCAGATATTGAAAAGCAAGGTTACGTTTCCTTTTGCCTATTTGTGAAATGATCAAAAAAAAAATTTTCTCCTTCAGTGACAATATAGGAATTATTTTTAGATCAATGTTTACAAATTAATGCTCACACTGTCATGTTAATGTTCACACTGTCAGCAAAATACTTTTAAAGATATGTTACCCTTTATCCTATAGTATCTTTTGATATTACTAGCTTTTGTCCTAACAACAATTTCAACTACAAGTGTTCAGCAAAACTAATGTAAGAGTAAGTTTTCTAATTGTATTAACAGCTAACAAGCTATCACTATTTCTCTGTTATATTAAGGAGAAAAAAAATCAAATAAAATGGTAGGATTTTATTTCTATAAAACCTCTTCAAAGAGGTTGAGCTGCAGCTGAAAGTTTACTAGTGACTATAAACATTTTACTGTGAGGTTTCTCATTCTTTATATTAAGGGAAAAAAATCAGTAACTTTATTAATAAACACAGGGAGCTGTATTGCACTTAACAACCAATCACCCATTTCAACTCAAAATGTTCTCCGTTTACTTTAGGTTAACATTTTGTTTACCAATTGTAGTACTAAGTATCTCAGTAATTGCTAAATTTGCCACTTAAAAATGAAACAATGTAACAGCACTGAAAAAGGGAGCTGAGTCCCTGTGGCAGTAGCTCCATAACAGTCCCCAACACCCTGAAATTAAAGCACTGAGCACTAAGGACTGGTAAAAGGACCATCTCACTTTATCTTCCTCCCTGTATCCAATAAAGACTTTCTGTTTACAATTCCAGTATTATCATAGTTGGTCTTACCTGTTTCTCCGTGAAAGAAACCCTACAAAAATTTAACAACCTAATTTACGTGCCATACACAGTTCCTACAGTATTTTGCTACCCCAGTAACTTCAAAATCTAGCTTTAATAGTCCTACAAAGAAATCCAGATTGCTATTTCCTTCTAACTAAAAAGTTCTGTGTTTGCCTCTTTAGGTACTTCTCTTTCCTTTGTAGTTGCACTAACATGTAATTGGTCATTACTCTTAAGTAATCATTTTTATGGAAATGCATTGCAAACAATTTTCTCCAAGAGTTTTAATGAACCATTCATTGCAAGAGGCATGGCTGGTACATATTAAGTCTTCAATTGTAGCAATTGAAGTATTCCACTGCATTCCCTCGCTCTTCCCTGGAAACAGGGTGTCTGGTTTCTCCACTTGCATGATTGCATGGTTCAGATCATTTATTCCTATTGTAAAATCGGAGTTAGGCCATTTTATTCCTCATGTCACTCTCTCAGTTCTCTCACTTCCCATAATTAACAGTTTCTTAGCAGTCAAAAAAAATTTATAATCATAGTTGAATTTAATAGTCAATTTTAAAAATGCAACACTTGGCATGATGATGATTCATGTAGAAGAAAGTGATTCAGAAACTCTTATCTCCATTTCTGTTACTGAGCCTGGAGCTAGTGATACTTAGCAATGTTACTGCTTGGCTATATATTTTAACTGAAATTTCATTGTTTGAGCATCCCATTGCGTATTATTAATGCCTTGAGAATTTTTAAACTCCCCAGATCAGTTCTGCACAATCAAATACAGTTACTGAGAAAAACGACTTAGATGCATTTAAGAGAACAATTAGACCTCACAAAAACATGAACTTCCTGGAATGTATTTAGGCAGTGACAATCTCACTACTCTCCACATTATTTACTGTAAAGAAAAGTCTTAGTGTTGTTAGAAAAAATAAATATCAAAACAGACATAAGAAAATAAATATTAAAAAACAAAGACACAGCAGTTAAAGCTCAGTGGAATTTCTCTTGGCTACAGAGACTGTGTTCTGTAGAAGTAGTACAGGTAAGTTTACAATATAAAGAGAACCCAGAAGCAAAGAAAATGTCCACAGTGGTTTGTGGGGAAAAAAAAAGATTTGCTTTCTCATTTTCTTTCTGATGGCAGTTATCCTGTGTGCCCAATTCATCGCAAAATTTATTACCCCATACTTTTTTCTTCCATCAAAGGCATATTGATGCCAGGCCTCTGTTCCTCCCAGAAACAAGAGGGGCTTGCAAGTAAAGAAAGTTGGTTTTTGTTGGACAATATTTTCATGGTTAGCAATCCAGAGAGAGTCAGAAACTTGAGAAAGACATGGTAAGGTAATAATTATTTTAACTGTTATGTGGCAATGTACTATTCCCCCATACACACACACACTCCCCCAACTGAAATAGTTTCAGCATTGTCTAAATTTTTACTTTGCCATGGTTCCTTATCTATACTGTGCTTTAGGGGAGGAGGATATTTCACCTACCTCCAGGGCCCTCTTGCTGCTAAAATTCGAACATTTAGAGGTTTGGATAAGCCTGTTAAAGAACCTATCGAGGCACTGGCACTTTCACCTGACACTAGTTCAGTACATTACCATCCATTTTTTCCTGTGACTGTGTGAAGCCTAGCTGCTTCTATTAATCCTTTTGAAGTAGCAGATTGTTTTATATTGGGTTTGCCGTGCTAAAGCCTGCAGCACTGTAGATTCTGCCCCCTTACTGAGCCTCTTCTTGCTGGCCTTTGTAAATTCAGGAGAGACACCATCCTGGAGAACATGGAGGAAGCCTTACCCTGTTTCAAGTCCAGGAGTGAAGGCACAGACTGGGATTATTTTCACAATTCTACTTCATGCTCTTTGCTTCCAGTAGAACTGGTTTATATGTTTCAGTTCATGCTAGTTTAACCCAATAAATGCCTAGAAATCTGCTGCACAGTCACATTGCAAGGATGGATATTTCCTAAAGCTGGACAGGTATCTTTTTGCTTCCTTTGTTGCCTCAATATGTTTCCTTGGATTCATCAGTGTTATTTCAGCACATGTGAGCAGCCTAAGAGCTAAAAATTACCTAGCAATTTGCAGAGCAGCCCATGAGGAAGCAGAACTAAAATGCTAATTAGGGCATGTTGTAGCTCTTAGACAAGAGGCAGTGAGTAGAAGGGCTGAAAGGCACAAGAACTAAAGCACTGTGGGGTGGGTGGTGGAAGACTGCCTATATGTGAGCCCCAGAGATCACAGGCACGCAGTGATCACGCTGCAGGCTGGCTTTGTGCAAAACCCGTTGTTGCTCATGTGCTGTGCATCTAGAAACCGAGCAGCACTTGCATGTTCCACATGCTTCAGGAAATTTGTGTGGGGTTTTTCAGGGGAATGATGATCAGAATGGACATGAACAAGCCCTGAGCTGTTGCGTAAATAATTATCTATGAAGACATGCCCCAAGTTTAAGAAAAGCACAGAGCTTTCTTACTCCATGAGCATTTACATATGGTTACTAGTGGACACTTATTTTGGGGTTTCCATTTTCTCCCTGTGTGGGTTTCTTCTGCTTTATCTGTGTCCAGAGCTGACAGGAAAGCACGGTTACAATCTTATCAGCTACTTTAATTATAATGCTGCATTACAGTGACATTACTCAATGATTGTAGTGAGTTAGGAGCAGAGCCAGGGAGGAGGTATTAAAAAATGAAATATCACTATAATACAAATTTATTATTATTGTTCCTGACAAACCTGCTGCTCTGCTCCTTAAGACCTTCCACAGGCTGGGAAGTATAATTAGTGCCACATGGCTACAGTCATTGACATAGTCATTTTGGGCAATGCAGCTTGCACCTACCAGAGCATCAACTTTTTTTGTTTTGTTGTCCACCTTGCATGTTGTTACACACTGCTTATGATAAAGCTAACAATCAGGCACAGACTGAAATGACTTTCCCCTGTTGCAGTCATTCAGTACCAAGTGCTCTCAAACCATTTAAATGTAATAAAATATTTTTTTTTCCTTTCCTATTCAGTCTCTGCCAAAATTTTCAAATAATCTGAAGTCCTTCATATATTACAATTATGCTAGTCTTGCCTGTCAGTCAGACTATGTTCAGATGTTACCATGTATTAATTCAAACAAAATTTCTACAGTTTTTGGCCAAATACACAACAGTGGAAATGCTACAAATGCATGATGGACCAGGTAGAAGATTCAAGACCTTCATGATTTTTAGCAAAGAAAAAAAATTCTCATTTGTTTGAAAGATGCTCTTATAAAATGTATCTTGAAGTTTGTTTGTTTACAAAGCATTGTAAAATGCTGTTAACCACCTAATTACCTTTTTTCCTGCAGCCTTTTCACAAACCTAAGTAAGAAAATAGAAGCAGCTAACTGTTTTTTCTTTGAATTTCAGGTATTGTTGCAGTCCTTTTCTGTGGAGTCACACAGGCCCATTATACCTACAACAATCTGTCACCAGATTCCAAAATGAGAACTAAACAGGTAGGGCATGGAAATAACTGTCTTTTTGTCTTCAGCTGGTGTAAGGAATAGACAGAGGTACTGGAATATAGCTGGACAGGATTTCATTAATGCAAAGGAAGAGGCTTACGTCTTTGTTAGGGGAAAGACTGGAGATTTCACTAGGAAAAGAGTAACAATTCTCTGGATAAGTGAAAAATAGAAGAATCTATTCTTCCCAAGAGACCTGAAATGGCAGTCGAGGAGATGAAGGGTAAGGAGATAACAGTTTACGCTTGCTTCCATACAAAAATGCTACAAAGCTAAGGAAATCGAAGAGCTCTAGTAAATAAGAGAGAAGTGGTCTGAGAGATTGGATCCACGTGGATTTTTGCAAAGGGACTGTATGAACTGCAGTCTGGCCTGCAGACTTGAGCAATGACATCAATTCATTTCTGCCTCATTAAAAAGCTGACATAATTAGAAAGATAGTGAATTTTTTCCGTGGTGTTATTTAGAATTTAGACGAGAAATTTGGTCATCTGTTTTTTGTTTGAACAGGTGACTAGTACAATTGTAATTATTTTTTAAAACTTGGGGCTGTTCTCAGTGCTAGATATATGGCACTGCAATGTTCAAAATACTTTTCAGCACAAGGAGTAATTTTAGACTAGCTTGCCAGTACCTAGATCCTGTGAGAAGTCATTTAAACACAGTTTTCTTCCCTTTTAATGTTGACTCATATGTCCCAAGAACCCCAGGTTGTAGAAAATCTATCTCCTAGAACAAAATGGAAATATATGGTCTGAGACTATAATTTTCATGATGCAAGCTGGTACCTTTTTTCAGCAATTCCTCTGTTGTAGGCATTGGAAATTTTATGTAGAAAATGTCATCGCTTCTTGCACATCTCAATTTAATCAAAAATCTGATTTTCTATCAAAAACAGTTTGATAGAAAAAATACTGGCCACAGTATCAGTTCAACTGTCAGACTTTCTCAGATTTTAAATCACAAAAAAGTTTCTGGTCAGTACTTCCAGAATAAAGGGTTAGCTATTGAACAGGATAAGTCTTCTCAATTGCATTTCTTCATACCAGCAGAGGCTGATGCTTTTGAAAAGTATTCCACCAGAGAAGAGAACCTTTCTCTGATAACTGTTTCGTAAGGGAATAACATTTATATCTACTATAGAATTGTTTCTATTTTGCAGAAATACTGATTGCATATGCCATTACTACCCTTGCATATAACTGTTACAATTTGAATACAAGGCTTTTTCAGGGGTTCATCTGCATGATTTGGTGATGCATAACCTCAGAGAGAGAAAGAGAAAAAGAAGAGCCATGGTATTTTTAATTACATATGAACCTTTTCAACTACAGAATTAACTAACATTTGGTTTTCTTCATGTTTACTCTTTTATTCCCTCCCATTCAACAGTGCAAAACAAAATAGTGAAAATAAACTGAATCTACCCTTGAACACACAGAAAAGGGATTATGTGTTTCTCTATAGAGCTATGAGTTTTATGTACCCCTTCTATTCTGTTTTTCTCTTCCCCCCTAAGCTCTTAATCCTCAGCCTCCCTTACAGTATGGTTCAAAAATTGTTGTGAAATTCATTTGAATTCTTCTAATTTATTTTCTAATCCAAAGATTACCCTTTCATATACAGCTGTTTCAGCAAGACCTGCACTGCCTCCTTCTTTCTCTCCCCCCAAGAATTCTCTTCAAGCCAATTTACTAAGCCACACACTTGGCAATCTCATAATCATATATGACTTCAGTGCATTTTAAATGAAAATTGTTGCTCAGACAGACAGCTTCGCTCCCAATCTGAGTCATTTTTATTACTCATTACTGGCCAAAATCAAGGGCTTTTCAGTTCATTTACAGAATTATTCCAAAGCCGTCTCTCCCTTTTGTTACAATATGACAGATCTTTCAATAAGGACTGGTGAACTGTAATGCACACTGACAAAACAGTGAGTTAAGGCTGAAGCTAAAGCTAACAAAAAACGTGGAAATTAGATTTAAAACTGTAAATCAGATTGTGAAATTGTGTTAGCTGTTTTTAAACAAATGTTTTTTCTCTGCTGCTTTGCATAATTTTCTTTACGTTTTTTAGTGGCTGTTAAAATTTCATAGCTTGATGGTAAAATTCAGTACACAGTGATGGAGGTGGTATTTCTGGATATGATGCTGAGTTCTGCATTTCTCATAATACTTCATCATTTGCTTTAAAAAAACAGATAAGGAAGAAAAAGACCAGTATGATTTTCTTCAGATACTGATATAAAATGAAAACTTATCTACAGTTCTTAAATGAGAATTTAAGAACCTCTATTAAGAATGCCTGTTAAAAGATGCCATCTAATTATTAGTCCTCATGTATCCTTTATTATCCAGTCAATCGCTGTTTAACATTCCATGAAAGAAAAATATTAGATTTCAAACATCTGAAATTTACAGAATCTGAAAGTACGAAGTAACACAAATCTTGTCACAAACAACAGATTATTTTAACGCTGTCATAAGAAAAGTAAGATAACAAAGATTTAGTGAAAATGCAGGCTTTAGAGAGGTTTCATTCAATCCAATTATCGCAGTTCTCACTAAGCATTTATAAACATTCTCTCTGTGTGTTTTTATTGTTTGTGTTTAACATGAATGATGTTTTATAGCAGTATTTTTAAGTCATCATCATTGACCTGACTATGGTGATAGTGATTTTAACATTAAAATTGACACTGCCATCTCTGGCAACAAGGTTAGGTCAAACAGAGTGCTCCTGAGTTTCGTACATTTAAAGGTTAATTTATCCAATATATCTTTAGCGAAGGGGAAGATGAAACTGCTAGGACGTGATCAAAAGCTTTTTGATTCTGTGCAGCTTTCTCTAGAATTATTTACTGCTGCCAGTAAAACTTCACTTTATGCTGCAGGCAAACAACAGTTGCCAGTAAGTCAGTGGCTGGGCAGTGTGTTGCTAGATAAATAGAAATTACTGGTTTGTTCAAAGTGGGCAGACTGTAAATCCCTACAGGTCAGGTCTAGAAAGGGATGCATGGACAATACTGTGTTTTCTGCAGGAAGAGAAAAACATTAATTGCTATTTTTTTCTCTCTGCCCTCTATCAGTGTCACTCAAATGCCAAGCTAAGACCAGCACAGTTTCCTAGTGGTGGAGTGTTAAAAGAGGCTTCTCACTTTTTCTAATGGCTGTAAATGTTATCCATCATACTTATGAGTTATATCATTTTCTGGTTATGTTCCTTTAACTCCAGGGAAAGCCACAACAAAGAAACCAGGGAACAGGGCAATACCTCTCTTTGGTTAAGTGTGCAAGGGTATGGAGAATTCTGCTTTCAGACAAAATACTGCCAGCAAGTTATAAATTCTGGAAGAGGAATTCTGAAACGCATCTCCTATGGAAGTAGAGCCAGGGAATTACTAGAAGGCACAGGAAAGCATGTCCAGCAGGGGGGGTATGCCACACACTGCCCTGCCTGTCTCCATTCCACCTGTCTGACCCTTGTTTACACAGCCATCTCTGAAATAGTTGTGTCTAATGAGCTTGTAAAGGTTGCTTTCTCAAATGAGGTGTAATAGCCTTTCTAACCACATTACTAGTTAAACAGTTACTCAGTTTTTTGCTGATCCCAATAACAAACCCATTAGGGAATACCTGCCTTATAGACAAAAGCTTCTGGCCTGATTGTTCAGCTGCACTGGGCATGCAGTATGCACAAGATGCGGCATTAAGATTTCAGCGGCCCTTTGAGTCCAAGGTTTTACATTAGCTTGAGGAGAGGGTGAAGGTAAAACAAGAGAACTCAGTACTGCATAACTTCTGAGTAACTTTACCAAAGCATGTAGTCTTACTAGGACTACTTGAGCTAATTAACTTACACTGAAGGACTGAAAGTTCAGACTGGTCTTTGCTCACTGATGGACATAGTAGTGATTGCTTCAAATATTAATCTCCACACTATAAAGCAGACATGATTATCTCTGATTATTAAAAGTCATCATTTTGCAGAGGAGCAGCTAATATTTCCTGGAAATCCCTTGAAAATACATTAAGTTTTCAAAATGTCCTTAGCTCATTTGTGATATAGCTATACATTTTCCAACAAAGAAACAGGCTAGGAATCAATCAGCTGATTGCTGGATCATAAATGGAGCTGTATTCCAAAGACAGTTTGGTGTAAAAGGGTCGTGTTTATAAGCATATTAATTTAATGCTAATTAATCATATTAATTGAAACAGGCTGACAAAACAGTCATGAAACATTTATTTAATTCCTTAAAAACTGTAAATCAAATCGTTATAGTCTCTTGACCCTGATATGTCATCAAATAGCCTCAGTATGGACTTTAGACTTGATGCTGTTCCATCCATAGTTATAGACTCACTTCTGAAGCAAATAGGAACAGGAGAGTATAACTTAAAAAGTATGGCAATGGAGATGTCCAAATCTACTGAAAGCAGGGGAAAAAAAAAAATAATCAGTGAATCAAAGGAGTGGTTCCTGAACAGCATCAGACAAGGTTTAGTAGAAAGAGCATTGCAGGACTGAAGGCAAAGAGGTGGCTGAAGTCAGTTTTTATCTCACTATACCCCAATGAAGCACCATCGCTGTGATCTAGTCATTCTGCTGCTTTTCTGCTGGACTAAACTCTCATGAACAAGTTACAAGGAGACCTACACTCAGAACTGAAGCAACAAATCTCCTTTCTCTAGATACGTGATACAATGACTACCTTATAGGATTCTGCCATCAGCTATCTTTTCGTAAGAAAATAACGCACTGCAAATTCTGCTTCAGTAGCAGAATGATTTCTCCTGAGTTTGTTGTTAAAAGCACATGCCGGGAACTGCAGCTACTGTTTTTATCTTTCTGTGAGAGAAGGGGAGTGGCTGAGTAGAGATGGCTATGTGCTACTACTGCCAAAACTGCGTCAATCTGCTGTTTGCGAGGGGTCCCACTCCAGATACCTAGCACCCATATTGTATTTGGGAGAAGCAGCCCTCTAA